CAGTCAAAAGATTAATCGAAACAATCGACGATGCGGTTTATTGTCGGCCATCGAAATGAACCACAGTCGATTAAAATTGGTTCAGTGTGAAGCATTCGGCAAAGAAATTCACACCATTCAAGCGAACGAATCGCTGCTAACCAACAGTCGAATCAAAGGTTTGGCTCCATTCATCGACCAGAACAATATCATTCGAGTACGGGGCAGATTACAGCGTTCAAATTTTCCGTACGATCAACGTCACCCTATCATCATGCCGAAGAGTCATCACTTCACTCGATTGCTTATCGATCATTCGCACGAAGTCACATTGCATGGAGGTGTGTCCCTCACGTTAGCACATTTGCGTCATCAATATTGGTTGGTCAGCGGCCGACAAACCGTTGCATCTCGTCTACGGAAATGTGTGACATGTTTTCGAAGCAAACCTGAAGTATCGAGTCAATTGATGGGAAATTTGCCATATCATCGAGTCAATCCACCGACGAGACCGTTTGTAGCGACGGGTGTTGATTACACCGGTGCCATCGAACTGAAATCATCAAAGTATCGCGGAAACACTACACACAAAGGATACATTGTGGTGTTCATCTGCCTCGCGACGAAAGCAGTCCATTTGGAAGCAGTGACAGGTATGTCAACCGAACATTTTCTTTGTGCATTACATCGATTCATCGGCCGCAGAGGTCTGTGCCAACACATGTTCAGCGACAACGGCACCAATTTCATTGGGGCAGACAATGCGCTTAATGCCAAATCAATTGAATCAGATATCGTACCAAAGCTCGCTGAAAGAGGCATCCAATGGCATTTCAATCCGCCTCATTCACCCAATTTCGGTGGCTTGTGGGAAGCCAACGTTAAGTCAACAAAGTACCACTTGGAGCGCATCATCGAAGGCACACGACTAACATACGAAGAATTGTCAACCGTATTAGTACGTATCGAATCGTGTCTCAATTCGAGACCATTATGCCCACTCACATCTGACATCGACGACTTGGATGTGCTGACGCCCGGCCATTTTTTGATCGGGGAATCGTTTTGATCGGGGAAACATCGCATTCCAAATCATTTCGTTAAGCACATTCAGAGAAAATTGCACACATTTTGTACGCATCCATTTTTATTATTTTATTCTTATTTTCAATTTGAAAGAAATTCATTAAATTAAGTGTTAAAGAAAAGAAACAATCGGGTCTTGTTTTATGAACTTCAAATCTCTAGTTTACCTACAACAAAGACTGTGACTGAGTAGACTGATGGTACGATTCTAATACGTAGAGTCTACAGCTTTCAGTGACGAGTCACATCCTTCTTTCACAGTTGTAAATTTCCAAAAATAATCAGAAAAAATTAGTCACAATTTACCACCAAATTGAAGTGTCAATTTGACAGTATCAACAACAGTGTGCTCTGATACAATGGTAAATGAACTATCAAAAAAACTGAAATATATGCCAAAACTATTATAAATCTAATCATATCTAATGAAATTTGCTAAAAAGGACGTGTTGAAGTCCCTAAAACCGCATATGTGTGGGAAAAACTGTGATGTGTTTTGAATTTGATTTTCTTTTGTTTCGTCTTTGAAATTAATTTAAGAATTCAACTGTGATCCCATTGCGATTATCGTGTTTTAAACGACGAGATATTTACACAACATCAATAATTCAAAGAAGTCACATTTTTATCAATGTTTTAATATATAAATGCTTTAATTCATGCACATTGAATTGTATTGTATTCACAGTCCCTGAGAATGGAACGCAAATATGCGTCCGAAACGTCGGAAAAACAGTGAAAAAGAGAAAAAACGGCCGATGGCCCAACAATCCAAATAAAACCTCGTTTTTTATTCGATTATTTTGTATCAAATATCGCGTCACGACTTTTGTATTTTCTTTTTCTGTATTGTGCCTTGTAAAAGTCGTGACGCGATATTTTTCCTTATCTATATATATAAAACTCATTGTGTGTGTATGTGTGCGTTTGTCCTATTTTTTTTTATTTTCATGATTTTTTAATTCTTGGTTTTAATGGTGAATATGTCGTTAGAATTCTCGCGGCTTAAATAGCAGATTCACATATCAGTTTTGATTTTCGAATTAAATTTTCAAAAGTTTGAAGAAACAATTTTTTTAATTGTTTTTCGATACAACGTACATTAATGTGGATTGATGGCAATGAAATATTGGTTTTGGAACAGAGTTGAACATGGACACCATCTCGGTCCATCATGGTCTTGTTAACACGACTTAACACCATGAATAGTCAATATGGGTGTCATATGGAAGGTTTTGGAACGGGAATGAACATGGACACCATCTCGGTCCATCATGGTCATCTTAACACGACTTAACACCAATTCACATATGAAAAAAATGCGTGTAAAATCAACTCCAGAAAAAGGAGCAACTTTCCCAGAAAATCGTCTTTGCTTTGAAAAAACAAGTATGGAACATACGAAATGACAGACTAACATTCATAACTGAATTTTGCTTTTTACGTCAAATTATATCGTCATCTCACTGAAATGCTTATTCATCTTTCTTGATTGAAAAAAAACTAACTGAACGGAAGAGAAACCGAACTAGCGCCCAAGCCGAGCGAAGCGAGGCGAGGAAGCTAGTTGTGAATAAATTTTCACAATAGTGAATGCGAAATACACTTTGAAACATCGTTTTCATAAATATTAGCATCCCCAGCGTCACTTAAAATGATATCAGTCTTTTTGTGGAAACAAATCTATGCAGGAGCGTCACTCATTTTTAACCTCGTCAAGAGGTTTTTCTTCTGATATCACTACTTTTGTACGGCATTTTATTTATTTACAAAACGTCGTGTGTTCTCTTAAGTTTATTTAGTGAAATCATTTTCAGCTGTGTCGGTAATGCAATTGGAGTAAATGTTTCCTTTTAAATAATGAAAAATGCTTGTCTGAAATATTTTCACACTTACAATGGATTATATGTTATTATATTACATTTGTTTTATTTGTTGAAGTGTGTGTTCGCATGCACACAAATCAGATTCATGAATAAAATTTAAAGTTTTTATAAATCATGAAATTCAATAAATATTCTCCCTTTATCAGATATATAAATTGCCATTTTCCCAAAATTAAATAAATTTACACAAAAAAATCACTGTAAGAGCGTACACCAAAGCTCTGGAAAGTGCTTTTTTTATGTATCCCCCGAACAAAAGTTCAATTTCATACATTCAGATGTAAAAATACCGATTTTAGACCAAATTGACAACGAAATGGATATTCAAATGTTGGTAGACTCCCATTATTTTCACGAAAAAATAGCAGTTTTCTAAGGACAAAATGACGTCAGAGGTCTATTTCACGTGTTTTCCGAACAAAAATGTCATTTTCAATGAAAATAGAGCAAGTTGAAAAATTCACTTCAATCCGACCTATTTTTTGACCATGAAATGCCCTCAGATCGCATTGTGACCACTTTTAATCGATTGCTCGTCGAAAATTGAGCGGATATGGTCTTTCGTGAGCCTTTTTCAGCCAGTAGAGCGTATTTTTGGCAGCAATTTCATCGTAGAATGCGACTCTTCGTACAAATTCCGTTCATTGATGAATTGCCTATGCTCAAAATTTCGAAATACGAATTTTCCCGGATATGTGGCATATGCCGTTTTGTTCGTATGGATGCCGGCTACAAACGCTCAGTTTTTGGTTGAAAACTCTTGGGCCAATTTTGAGTAATCGCCATTTGTGTGAAATTTAAGGGGATCGATTTTTCATAAAAATCGACTTTTCTCTTTTAAATGACGTGAAAGTGGCCATATGTGTATGGAATGTTTTGAAGGTCTCCCCAAATGGCTACCAACTTGTTTTGCCAGATTGATGTCTTCGTTGCTCTGGGCTGAAAAATCGACGTTTGTAAAAGTCGGAGATGTTTTGGGGCCAAGAGCTATAGCAAATTTTCTCGCAATACAGAGAGTCATTTTGACGGTGGATTTCAACGTGACCCCACGCCAGCTACAACATAGGCATAGCGGCACGGGAAGTTTGGGGGGAAAAAAAGTGGACAGACGCGCAGACGCACAAAATGCTTCACTTCTGGAAAACCAAGTACTTACTAAAAATGCCCATAACTTTTTTGTTTGTGAACCGATCGGGGAGTTTGGACCGGCGTTGGATAGGTGGGGACGTGCAACATTTTTTGGACACCCCCACATCCCCCCTCCGACACCCCCTTGCGGGGGAGGGGGGTAAAAATGGGGGCTAATTTACGGAGCAAGGTATTTTTGAGCAGACATGCTTTTTGGCCAGTGTGGTATGGCGTTTTCGGCTATTTGGGCCAAGGCCTTTCAAACGGCCCCTGGCACTCCGGGGCCCAAGTACCGCCCTGCGAAAATAGCATATTAGCTGTATATATACCAGTGACGCAAAAATGTGCATTTTTTGACATTGTGGCTAAAAATGCACAGTATATGGAGCGTCACTGGTCGGACTACCGTCCTCCGTGATATGTGTGTGTGTATGCGTCGTGTGGCGGCTGTTGAACGTCAAAGTCATTTGAGGCGACGCGACTGCCCCCAATTTCAAAGGGCACATCAATGTAATTTAACATTTCAAATCGGAACTAAACAGCGCGCCAATTCGAAATATAGGAAAATATAGTGTCAACAGCCGCACCATGGTATGCGTGGGATGTTTGGCCGATATTGCCTAATGTTGCATACGGTAACACAGAGGCTACCGCTTTTACGCTAGTGTATTACAAACACACGTACATTGTGTGTAATACGTTAATCGCTACACACAATTCACTCACACAAAGATGTTAGGGACTTCTGAAATATGAGGCTGTGAGAATGAAAATGGCAATACAGGAATAAACATTCTGAAACGCATCAAGAAAAAAAATTCGTAAAAATGAATCATGAGTTCTGAATATGCAAAAGTGAAACATGAATTTACATGGGCAGCATAGGAGGTTCATGGTTCACTTTTGCGTATTCAGAACTCATGATTCACTTTTGCGAATTTTTTTTTCTTGATGCGGTTCAGAATGTTTATTCCTGTATTGCCATCTTCATTCTCACAGCCTCATATAGTGTTTGAAAAAAATTATAAAATCTAGTATTATTTTCAATTTTCTGAAGCGTGGTCAGCCCCTAGCAAAATTGATAGAATATTTGAATTTCTCGGACAAAAATTCACACACAAAAAAATGAAAATGATTCTAAAGAAGACTTACTTGCGGGGGCTTGGATTCCAGCTACAAACTTTGCTTGTGACATGTTTTCAATCACTTTGCCCTTAAGAAGAGCTTGCGAGAAAAAGCCATCTGTTCATTAGAGAAAAAAGTTGAAATTCCGAATTGAATGTTATAAAAGTCTGAAAAAATCGTTTGGAATCATAAAAAGCTAGTTCGAAAACCAAAAATGTCTTACGTTTTCCTTGAAGTTCCTAGAAAAAGAAATTTCGTGTTAATTTTCATTTCTACAGAAATATCGTATTTTATTGGATAAAAGTGAAAATGATAAAAGAATAGAAAAAACTTACCGAAAATTCAACGATAAATAGCACCGAAAACAAACCGTGTAATAGATTCATTTTAATTTGCCAACGAAACAGAGTTTTAACCTGTTGCACAATGATATTGGAGAACTTTTTCGTACTCTTTGAGAAGAAATAATTTGAATTCGTTTGGTCTTCCCTATGCGGTGCTGCCTCCTTTATACCATTCATACACCAATAGCTGACACGTGCCATACAACGAATAATTGTTGAAGTGTAGTATTTTTCAGTTATGGAATTTATGAATTTAGGTCGAATAACACTATGCAACAAATTTCGAAAACGAAATTCTCTTAAAAAGAGGAGACTCATTTCCAAGGTTTTTTGGCCCACTTCGTAATACAATCGTAAACCACAATGAACGTATCTTGAAAACTAGACGTGCCAGGACAAACTAATGCCAGATTTGGATTAAGTGGGCTCAAAAACATTGGAAATAAGTTCTCTTCACTGCGGTTGTTTCTTGTTATTGCATAGTGTAATCATATTTAGATATTATCAAAATTCCTTAATGAAGCTCAATAACAAAATTCCTTTGATGGATACGTGTAGCTGATACAACTTGTGTAAATTGATAGCAAAAAATGGAATACGTTCGAGAAAATTTTAAATTCATATGTAACTGGTTCGTAATTTGGTTATTTTCGGCTGTTGCCAATTGTTTTGACACTTACTCATTGTTTTTTGTGTACATTTTTGTCCATTTTGTACAATCCACGTACAATGACGATTCTAATTAAACCCCACAAAATATTATCGCACACATTTTTCAAGATAACAATGTCAAAACAATCGATGGAATTACAATTCCACCTGTGCACGTGTGTTTAATTTCGCGTTTCACATCGAATGTTTTGCATTAAAAATATCAGATGTTTACATTTATTCTTTCATCACCTTCTTTAAACTACAAATTCAATGTAAAAATTTAAAAAGTAATTATTTTTCACTCTTGAAGGGTTGAGTGGTGTTACTACGGCACGTGGCTGTTCAAATTTAAAAAATTTCACATCTTCGCTGCATGCACAAAACACATTCCGATTATTATATTATTACCAATACAAGTCGTGCATGTTGTAAAAGTACTTCTGAGTGAGCATAAAACATTAATCTATGATTTACCCACACCATTCGTTCGGGTGCTAATCCGCTAATTTTACATCTCTTGGGCAAAGGTTCATTATTTGAAATACATTTAATCTCCTTACCGAATGCTTCCGCTTGCACGAGACGAACCAACTGGAACAAACTTGATTGGATTTCCGCTACGGTCAGTTCTCCTTGCATTCGTTTCAGCTTAATGAGTGCGTTGTGAAAAAATCGACGAATCCATGCGTTGACACGAACCAATTTGTACAATGATGAATACAAACATAATCGATTCGGTTTGAATGCTCACATGGACATGAAGTTCTGATGACTCAGTGAGACAATGATTAAAAAAAGTAGTACTTGTGGCGGCACCTAGCGAGTCCATACAACTTTCATATAGTTTGTATTTTGAAAAAAATGGTAGGGGAAAATGTGGAGGGGAAGCAGTTTATTGAATGTATAGGCATACACGTTCTACTCGCCAGGATGCAAACATTGTCGCACTGGATGACTTTATTCAGCCAAATCCTCAGTGGAGCTGATGGTGCCCGGTTTGAATGTAGGTCAGTCCTTTGTCGGTTTGACTAACCACTCCGGTCCTTTCCACCACAAGTCGAACTTGGATAAGTGATGTTGGTGAGTGCCAACATGACTCCATTGTTGAGGTGACGTTGATGATAAAATTTTACTGATTCGATTTGCAACGTTTGTTTTCCAACGTGTGACGTCTCCATGAATCCAATGTAACACAACCATTGCGTCACACCAAAAATAAATCGGAATTTGATTGACGGGGATTCGGAGATTTGATTTTACCCAAACTGCTAGTAGTGTGGCAAGTTTGTCTCCACACAACTCGATTTGTGGAATAGTTAATGGTTTGGTGGGAGTTACCTTGCTTTTGGCGATGAGTAGATGAGTGTGTACCAATCCATTGTTGTACTGCATTCGGATGTACACATTTGCTGCATATGCTGATGTCGCGCCGTCACAAAATGCATGTAACTCGATTGATTGAATTTGATTTATGTGAAAATTGGATCCATCTTGGTATGGATATCTTCTCGATGTCAGGCAATTCCACCAGAAATTTGTTCCACTGTTCGTTGAGTGATTCTGGTAAAACGTTATCCCAATTCAACGCCGTTCCTTGGTTCGATTGAGCATCACTTTGAGTTGATGAGTTATGGCCCCAGATGCGTTTAAGAATAATTTTCGCAACGACCACAACCGGTGTGATGTAGCCCAACGGATCGTAGAGGCGAGCAGTTGTTGACAAAACAGCTCGTTTCGTTGCAATTTTTGCTGGTTCGAATCGGAGTTTGTATTCGAATTGATCGGCGCCAGGTTGCCAAATTATTCCAAGCGTTTTGACGGTTTCGTCCATGTTGAACTCTTACGCTGAATTAATGGATTGAATTGGAATCGATGATAATAACGATGGATGGTTGCTGCCTCATTTACGCAGCTCCATACCCGCTGATTTGATTGCAACGATTAAATCTTCTCTCTTGGCTAAGGCACTTTCGATCGAATGCCCGCCAGATTGTACAGCGTCGACGTACATTTCTTGCACGCTCGAACAATTACATTTCCATTGTCGTCGTGAGTGACGTATGCTTGTTCTGGGAGTGGAGCAGGTATAATTTGATTAAGTTGAAAATGTTCATTAATACCTTCGTAGCGCTCTCGCAAACCTTCCACGCGATTGAAACGGCGTTCCAAACGATGAAACCAATTCACGCCAATTTGATGTGAGCGCCCTCAATTGTTTGATTTGAATGGAAGACGCACCATGTATTTTCCATTGGGTTGACGATGATGCGTTTGCTTGAAGAAATCCATAAACCATTTTCCCTCTTCGGTAGAGAAATCGCATTGCGGTATTTGTTCGGTTTCGATGAAGTCGTGAAATAGTGAAGTGAGGTCGATGGACGTGTGATGAGCTCGTATGCTGACCGAGGGGCAAATCACTCTAAAGTAATTTGTAATAGAGAAAGTAATCGAGAAAGTAATTGACGTGTAAATATCTCGATTACTTTTAAAAAATTGAAACGTAATCGAGATTTTTACACGTAAATTGCTTTCTCGATTACAAATTACTTCAGAGTGATTTGCCCCTCGATGGTGACCGTTCGATTGTTAGCTGAATGTGGTTTGGAAATCGATGCTGTCTGGCCATGCAAAATCCACCCAAAGTTCTAGCGATTGGGTGATTGGGTCGACCGATGCGTGTGTCGGGTAACATGATCGATGCGGACCATTCTGATCCGATGAGCAGATCCATCTTTCCTGGTTCGAAGTTATTTGGATCAGCTAACACTAATCCATGAATGTGTGGCCAATCTTGGGGCGTAACCCGTCGGCTTGGCAAATCAGATGTGACGACTTTCATCACGATGGCTAAGTCAACAAATACTTGGTAATCTCGATGCACATTCGATCGCAATGCAAATTGAACTATTTCGTTGCTAGTTCAAGCATGGTTTTGGCCAACGCCGTTGACTTCGTTGATGGCAAATGTGCGTCTAAGACCCAAAACGTTGGCTGCATGCTCGGATATGATCGTGCCTTCTGAACAGTCGTCGATGAGTGCAACTGCCAATGACCATAACTTTTTCGTTTTGGGACCGATCGGAGCGCTTAGACCGGCGTTGAAAAGGTGGTGAGGAGGAGCTTCTCTTGGACACCTCAGACCACCTCCTGGGTACCCCTTTCGTGGGATATGGGTATAGATTTGAAATTTTATCGAAATTTTGCAACCGCTATATTTTTGCCTAGACCACACTTTAGGCATATGGAATATGGTGTTTCCGACTATTTGGGCCAAGACCTTTTGAACGGTACTTGACACGCTGGGACCCAAATAGTGTCCTGAAAAAAAAGCATACTTACTGTATATATAGTCGTGACGCAAAAACTGGCATTTTTGACATTCGGCTTGAAATGCACAGTCTATGGAGCGTCACTTGTCGGACTACCGTCCTCCGTGATAATTGCGCATGGGCTAATGAAAAAACAAATGCATTTTTCTCAAATTATCAAATTTATTCGGTTCTTTTGTTGAACATCAAATGACAGGGGCAAAAAAAGAGACGGTATTCAGCTTTTTCAGGCGCTCAAAACCCCTTTTTCAAGCCTATATTCTTCTTCTTTTATCACCTCTTACATTTGGCTTCCGGATCCAATCAAGCAACGGTGCAATCGGTTGAAAAATAACTGGCTGATCAGGTAAACGAGTTATGATCATACCCATGCACTATCGGTTTGCATTTGGTGCCATCCAAATACTTTGTATCATAACGCCTCGGTCTCACTGTTCCATCCAATACCATATCACCATAGACAGTGACCATTTTGGACGGGTCATTCATTTTGTAATCTTTGTCCACCAAATCTATGCTGCCGACGTTATCGTTGAACTCCAACGGTTCTTTAAGTGTAATCTTGGCAATGTCAAATGTGAATCCCGGCAATTCGTATTTCTCATGAATTTCTATCTGGTCTTCGGTGACTTTAAGTTTTTTCGCATTCCTTGAAAGTTTATTAATGATTGCGTAGACATATGGGGCGCCGAGCACACTATGCGCACATGTCAAAATCTCCGTTTCCGACAAAATGATTGCACTAAATTTTTGTCGAACATCTTCGTCAGCATTGGCAAAATCTTTTTTGTAAGCAGTAAGAAATTCCGTAATAGAAAAACAACTCAGAATGAATATTTATGTTTATGAATCATGAAAAATCTCCAATTTTGCATCTCCTCTATTTAAAATTTAAAAAAAAGTGACGTTGAAAACGGTTTGATTTAGTTCGAATCTCGAATGCACACTTACTTCCCGGTACCGTTATATCGGCTATAAATTTAGCTTCGTTCGGTGTAAGCGGGGGTGGAATTGGTTTCACGCTCTAAAATTAATGCAAAAAATGATTTCGTTTGCGTTGTTGAGAATAAAAATTGAGGCATTGTGATTAGATACCTTTGGGTGACGAATAAAATCAAGAAATAGAGTAATTGGAAGGAACGCTCCGCGACCATCTGCCGTCTCAGCCGTTGTTATCCCCACTATTTTGCCATTTGTTTTTGAAACGACTGGTCCACCCGAATCGCCGTGTGTAACAATTTTGCTATCATTCGTAGCTTCACCAGTTGTAAAGCACAAAGCCTGACTTAGCTTAAATGTGTTGGCTCGTTCGACATCAGATATATATTTCGCATCGCAACGCCTCAATATCGATGGTCCGGTGTTTTTTAACACTTCTGATGGGTCATTCAATTTGTTCAATAATTTTGGCAATATCAAATGCACCAACAATCAAACGACTAAAATAAGAGTGATAAGCAATTTTCTCTTTTTCGACTTTGATTCTGATTTTCTGTTTTGCAACTGATACAACCTTCGTATCAGCTACCACATAAACATATGGGGCGTCATCCACACCAGAGACTGAAATTTTCGGGATCTTCCTCTTCTTCTTATTGTGAAATTCAATTTTATTTTGAAAACGCAATCTGACTTCTAGAATTGTTCTAGCCTGAAATAACTAAAAATTGATCTAGAAATTGTTTCAGGATGAAAAATTTTAAAAGTCACATTCCGTTCTCAAAATGAAATTGAATTTCACAATAAGAAGAAGAGGAAGATCCCGAAAATTTCAGTCTCTGATCCACACAATGGGCATTCGTGATTATTTCCGTTTTCGACAGAATAAATCATACTTCTCTTTATTACTACGAAGTTGAACAAACTTGCGTTCTTTTACGTCTCACCAATAGATACGAATTTTTGGACAGGTGGGCCTGCCGACCATTGGTAGACCCCCTAGACATTTAAATTAGCCAAAACGCAGAAACAGGTCGATTAGATTTTGAACTAAACTACATTTCCCCATTTGGAAATCATTGAAAACGTCGTGTCTGAATGGCCCCAGGCTAGGAAATTTGAAGCGTTGCGTTTTCACAACGTGGGGCCAAAATGGGTTAAACAAAGAAAAAAAATTGAATTTTTCGACGCTGGGGTCACTGGTGACACATGGTAGTCCGGGGGTTAATACCATCTGTATGTTAACTCAAATATTTGACTAAATCAATAATCTACTATGAACGATACTTTTGAAACCACAATGTGATGAATTTTCCGACAGTAAACTGACAACGCACAATTGAAAGTAATCATTTGCAGTGGATCTTTTCTGGGAAAAGTTTGAAAAAGAAGACTGTGACTGAGTAGACTGATGGTACGATTCCAATACGTAGAGTCTACAGCTTTCAGTGACGAGTCACATACTCGGCATCAAAAAATGCCAGCGCCACTGTTTCTGGAGTCAGATACCACAAGTGATTCATCATTTTTTCAATTACTGCGGCAGATATATCTATATCAATTTTGGAATATTCGTTAGCGGCACGCAAAAAATTCAAATCTTGATTGGGAGATTCAATAGAATTCGTACATCCGTACCAGACTTTAATGTAAATTTTAACGACAAAAATTGAAACATCTCGAATAGAATTGAGCTCTCTCTTAGATAAATTGAATTGGCCACGAAACAGGAAAATTTTCAGACAATAAATTGCTTTTGACATAAATCTTGCATCAGAGGTTGCACCACATGTACGAAAAGCGCCACCGTCACCACCAAGGAATGTGATCGTGAGCTCCAACAGCTCCTTATAATCGCTACGTATTTGAGTATGTTTGATTTGGTTTTGGCAAAACTGTTTAATTTGTTCACGTTCATCATTGGGAATTTTTGAGCAGACAATTGAGTCATCAAGGCCAGAATTGAATTGATCTCGTTTGATTTCGTGCCATACATCAGCGAATCGATTGAAAATTAGAGTTTCAGGTGCACTGCTGCTGCCACACTTCTTCTCAAAGACATTTTTAAGCACAATTTCATGAACAATGATGGCGGCATGCAAGATAAATGAGTTTCCGGCCGAGAAGTTCTTCCAAAAGAACACAAGCACCACTTTTATGGCCAGTATTTGAGGAAGTTGTATCAAAGCTGCAGGCCACAACTCTTTCAGAAATGTTCCATTCAACTAGAATATTATAAACGGCTTGAGCAATATGTTTTCCCGTACCCGATTCAATTTTCGGAGCTCCTAAAAATTTGAAACTTCCATTGTAGCTAACAAGAACTGCTATACGATCTACCTTGGATCTGCCGCACAAATCATTCAAAATTTTTCCATCCCAGTGAACCACTAAACGATCGTTAGTACTTAACTATTTTATAGTAAAATAAAAGGATAGAAAAAACTTAAATATACATTAAAAACACGTGTAAAATTCGTATTACGTTGTCTATGAAATCGGATTTTGATTCATCATATTGAATTCGTCGATTTTCCTCACGCGATTCTTGTAGAGAAGTACGATTTAGGACTAAATTAACGGCAGGAATCTTCAAAGCATCTACCGTTGCCATCAATATATGCATCGCCTCTCTGTTCGACAACTGATCGCGAAGAAAAAAGAAGAGTTCGAAATGATCTTAATTTTTCAATCTCATTTTTTTACCTTCGCTTTATCAAGTGCGGCGCATAATCGTGGTGTAATCCATTTCTTTTTCGGAGTGGAGCGGCGTGTCTGTTGTGGTGGTACTTCAAAAACATCATCTACTTCTGTATTGTATTCAATATCCGAATCACCTTCATAATTTACTATAATGGATTAAATTTCATATCGACACCCAACATTGAACCTGGTCGTCCTTTTTGCCGCTGTTTTTCCAAAAATTCTTTGTCTTCTTCATTTCTCATCGTCTCCAGAGCATCGGCAGCCGCAATGTCAAAAAGATCATCTAAATCGTCCATGAAAGAACTAAATTTTTCTTTCATTCCGAATGACATTTGTTCCACCTTTACTTTGTTAAAGGCTTTCCAGTCATCGTAAATTTTAACAATTTTGTCGGTACATTTATCTTTTCGGCGAGTTGGTATGCGTGCTTGCTGCCAAAATATCAAAACAGCATCAATGGTTAGATTTGCGCTCTCTTTGGTACTTAATTTCACAAAACGCATGTTATAGAAAAACACTTCCAAAACTTGTCTGTTCGACGGCAACGTAGCTCCAACAATTTGATGTGAAACGTGCCCAATCAAAGCAATTTGTCGTTGTTTTTCATCAGCCTTACGCGTTTTCACCGATGAAACACTTGATTCCAATGATTTTGCCATTTTTATCATAAATTATTTGGAATATTGAACAGCTTATTTGTTGCACTTGATGATGAAAATGATGAAATACATTGCACAATGTTCACAAGTTTGACGTTTAAATTTGACTTTGACACTTCGACTCATGAATGAACGCTTTGGTTGAAAATGATCAACCCTGCACATACTCAAGCGTCGTAAATCGTTGCTAATTTGAATTAAAACAATAAATTCACCATTATATATCAATATTAGCGTATTGTAGTCATTTATGTAAGAAAAAAAACGAAAAAATGACGAAATTTCAATAAAATTGACTTTTTCCAACTACATAGATTTTATGGGTCCATCAAATATTGTCCGATCGGTTTCAAATTTTTTAATTGTTTTTTTAACATCAAAAGGAAACTTTTTCAGCCCGGTGAGCGATAACATTGTCATTACGGAAAGTCTCCTAACAAACCACGGCCAGGCTATTTCACAGTTGTAAATTTCCAAAAATAATCAGAAAAAATTAGTCACAATTTACCACCAAATTGAAGTGTCAATTTGACAGTATGAACAACAGTGTGCTCTGATACAATGTTAAATGAACTATCAAAAAAACTGAAATATATGTCAAAACTATTATAAATCTAATCATATCTAATGAAATTTGCTAAATAGGACGTGTCGAAGTCTCTAAAACCGCATATGTGTGGGAAGAACTGTGATGTGTTTTGAATTTGATTTTCTTTTGTTTCGTCTTTGAAATTAATTTAAGAATTCAACTGTGATCCCATTGTGATTATCGTGTTATAAACGACCTTAGATGTTTACTCAACATCAATAATTCAGCCCAAAAGGCATTCGAATGTAAGTTTTATTCAAAGAAGTCACATTTTTATCAATGTTTTAATATATAAATGTTTTAATTCATGCACATTGAATTGTATTGTATTCACAGTCCCTGAGGATGGAACGCAATTACGCGTCCGAAACGTCGGAAAAACAGTGAAAAAGAGAATAAAAGGCCGATAACCCAACAATCCAAATAAAACCTCGTTTTTTATTCGATTATTTTGTATATGTGTGTGTGTATGCGTGTGATGTTTGGCCGATATTGCCTAATGTTGCTTACGGTAACACAGAGGCTACCGCGTTTACGCTAGTGTATTACAAACACACGTACATTGTGTGTAATACGTTAATCGCTACACACAATTCACTCACACAAAGATGTTAGGGACTTCTGAAATATATTGTTTGAAAAAAATTATAAAATCTAATATTATTTTCAATTTTCTGAAGCGTGGTCAGCCCCTAGCAAAATTGATAGAATATTTGAATTTCTCGGACAAAAATTCACACACAAAAAAATGAAAATGATTCTAAAGCAGACTTACTTGCGGGGGCTTGGATTCCAGCTACAAACTTTGCTTGTGACATGTTTTCAATCACTTTGCCCTTAAGAAGAGCTTGCGAGAAAAAGCCATCTGTTCATTAGAGAAAAAAGTTGAAATTCCGAATTGAATGTTATAAAAGTCTGAAAAAATCGTTTGGAATCATAAAAAGCTAGTTCGAAAACCAAAAATGTCTTACGTTTTCCTTGAAGTTCCTAGAAAAAGAAATTTCGTGTTAATTTTCATTTCTACACACACAGAAAAGAATCCCCGGAAATTTTGGGTGTTCGCCGTAAAATTTGACATTTATATATAAATTTCTATATACATTTTACCGGCAACACTTCAATTTTCCGGGCGATGACATATTTTCGAACATTTTATCAAATACTATATATATTTTACCGCTTGAAATGACAGATGGCGCTAATTTCTGTTGGAATATTTGAAATTATGTCATCGCCCGGAAAATTCAAGTGTTGCCGGTAAAATGTACATAGAAATTTATATATAAATGTCAAATTTTACGGCGAACACCTAAAATTTCCGAGGATTCTTTTCTGTGTGCAGAAATATCGTATTTTATTGGATAAAAGTGAAAATGATAAAGGAATAGAAAAAACGTACCGAAAAGTCAACGATAAATAGCACCGAAAACAAACCGTGTAGTAGATTCATTTTAATTTGCCAACGAAACAGAGTTTTAACCTGTTGCACAATGATATTGGAGAACTTTTTCGTACTCTTTGAGAAGAAATAATTTGAATTCGTTTGGTCTTCCCTATGCGGTGCTGCCTCCTTTATACCATTCATACACCAATAGCTGACACGTGCCATACAACGAATAATTGTTGTTTTTACACGTCGATCATATTCAGCAATAATATGTTGCTTCGCCACTTCGAATGTGACCTCAGCTTAAACACGTGCACCAAGTCCCTGCACCAATGTATCATAACTTTCCGGCAAACTGCTCAACACAAGTATTGTGCTACTAGTTGTACTCGCTGTTGACTTCTATTGTATTTGCCTTGTGATTTTTATCCTCGAAATCATATATTCGAAATCATTTGCGATCGATTTCTTTGCACAAATCAGTGGATAAATTACATGTGAATAGTGCTACATGTTACATGTGAATAGCAACAACCCTATCTAACCACGATAATTAATGTGCACAGATATTCTTCGCAAAAAACGAGGACATTTTTTTTTGGAGGAAAAAAAGAGGGAGATTTTGAACTTTTAATTTAGAATGATATTTAATGACAAAAAAAGAAAAATACAGTTCAAACTCAAATGTTATTCATTTTAATATTTTTCGCTTGATTTGACTTTTTGTAGCAATTCTGGTTGTGTCAATATGTATTTGTAGAACTCCGAGCAAGTCATTCCGCAATTGTGTTTGATTGCTAGCCAGCAGTTCAAAGTATCCATGGTCAGCTGACTTTTCTTGTCAGTCCAGTAATTCTTTATCAATGAAAATAATCGTTCATACACTGCACTCGTTCCTACAAAATTCACGAATAATAAATAAAACAGACATTTTAACAAATAATATTTTCAAATTACCGGGCATGACCATGGCGTATTCAACCACTTTGAAAAACTTGTTGAAAGAAACATTTTTGCTACGAAGCAATTGTAGAACTTCAATCCATCGGTTTTCGGTAGTGGTTTTCGTGTTTTCCCAATTCGGCAATAATTTTTCAATCATCAATTTGACGTTGCAGAACTCGGCGTGCACCTTAAGATCATTAGATTCACCGAACAACTTCTTTTTCATCAATTCATCCACGCACGGCTGAACGTCTTCCCATTCGGGTACCTTTCGTAAAGAAGCCCACGACCACATTTTTATTGGGAGCAATGGTTCAATCCATAACGATAAATATTCGATGCAATCGCTGTAAAATTCTTCAAAAATGTCATTTAAGTCCTCTTCATCAATCTCCATTTGGACGTTTTTGCGCTTTTTCTTCAAAATCGAGATTTCGCACGGAAGAAATTCCCTTATCATTTCCATCTCATCACGAAATGCAGATGAACGAAATTTATCTTTCAATCGACCTTCAACAACTAATTTCAATTGAGTCATTATTTCAAGAGCATCAAATGCTGTCACAACATCGCCTTCAAGCCGTTTGATGGAATCCTCGAAGATGTGACACTGATCTCTGATGAATATGAGCAACAGCTTGGCAAATGTACATTCGAAAAATTGTCGTAATTTTGGTGGCGATGTTTTTTCATCTGGATCTGTGAAATACATTTTCAACGCTTCAAATTGTGAAATTATTCTGTCAATGCATCCTTTGAATGCAAGAAAACGTGTGGATCCATATCCTAACAGCTTCTCGTATTTGATGCCCGCATCGTCACAAATATCTTTCAATCGAGTGACACGAACGGTGCGTTGTGCAAAATGCTTGTATATTTTAACGACAATTGCCTCCACATCGAATAGTTCAATATTACTGACTGCGTAATCCACCGTGTTATGTGTTATATGGGCGTTGCAGCCAGAACCGTGAGAACAATTTTTAAATTTATCGCGCATCAAAGCGAAGACGTTGTTGTTTCCACCTCTGGTTATTCCACCAAAATTCACCTTTGCATTATCCCCACCAAAACCAGTTACTTTGTCCGAAATATTGAATTTTTCGCAAGCGCGTTCAATTTGACTTTCCATAGTTACGGCTTTTTCATCACGCAAATCGAAGGTTTCAATTACTTTGTTCGACACACCACTTTCAATCGAAAAATACCGTGCGACCACTGGAAACATCTTTATGTTGGTATGGTTTGAGGCATCAGTTGTGATGATTGACTTTGATTAAATTGTAATTTCATTTTACTTTTCATTATGGCATGTGCTTTAGTTTGGGAGCAGGTAAACTTTGGGTTATCACCGTAGATCGTTTGAATCAGTTTTGAATTGCAAATTGCCGAACGGAAGCTATGATTTTCTTGAACCATATGATATACCGAGACAGCTTCTTGTGCTGCGACTTTGATGTAAACTTCATTTGCCGCTGAAGAGATAATGAAAACAACATTTCAAATACGAAATATTACAGAAAAATCAATCGAAAATTAACGTGAATAGAATCGTTGCACGGAATGAGAGCTG